GGGCACTTCTGTTAAATATAAGGAACTATGTAATCCTTATTCTAAAATCCCTGTTTAAAGAATTTTCATAAGCATTCCCACACATCAATAATTTTTTGAGCCGCAAATTAATTATTGTAAATGGAATATAATCTTAAGATTGATCAAATTTTATCAAATAGTTATTCCAATAAAATTTACAAATAAAAGATATAGGGTAATTCCAAAATAAACCAACAAAAAAACTCTGTTTTAAATTTTTGTCTCCTTCGATTTTTTTCAAATCGGGAGCATATATTCTACTCCTGAATGCGATTTATTATTATAGCCTCTAATTTAATTTAAAAATTTACATTACAAGAGATCGCACTATGGGTCAGAGAGAAACTCAGGCGCGAAAAGTATAATTAAATACTGACATGTTGTTATTACTATTGGCTGTACATAAAGTTATCACAATTAAAAATGACTATAACTCCAAAACTGCTGATAATAGGGAAAAATTGTCTAAATCCAAAATGCCGTAAATTTGATTTTCTACAAATTTTGTAATGACTCCTAAATCCGTAGAATGTATGAAAAAGGAGATATTTCAAAAAATGTATTATTTTGACCTATGACCTCCAATATTTCAATTATATAAGACATGATTTCACATATTAGTCACCATCATATTTATAACATTAATTTGATGTTCTGTGGTAATTTTTACTTTATTCGGCATTAAAACCTCAATTTACTAGACTATAAATGTGTTAAAATGTTAAAAAGCACTCATTTACCATGGAAATTGTAAATGTAGCTAAATAAAAACTCCTATAACTTCCAAACCCCTTGAGATCCCATTATAAAATTTTTACACAGCAATAAGAATAATTTTGCCTATTTGTCATTAAAAAATTAAGAAAAATAAAAAAATATCCTTTTTTATGATATTCAAGGATAAAGGACATTTTCCACTATATGGTCCTTGCGTAATTTTAATGAAATGTTAAAAACTAGTAATCGAAGACCTGTCGAACGAAGCATCATTTGTTAAAATCGGATAACTGGTTATAAAGTTATTCAGTTATCAACATTTCTAATTTTGAACAAAAATACCCGAGATGCCCTACTTTAGAGGCCCATAAAATATGAACCGAATGATGTAAGGATCAAATTTATACGCCATAGAAACCGCAATTAAGAGTAGAATGTATGTTTCGAGTTATAACAAAATCGAAAGGGATGAAAATTTGAAGTGGTCGAAATGTCTGTGGAATTACCCTATATTGTAGTTTTCATGTTTTGGAACTACTCCACTGTTCGCCATCTGGCTTTAATTTTTGTATATTTTAAGTTTTTTATGGTATTTTGTACTTTGAATATTGCCATAGGAATGGTAAGCGCATTGTGTGCATAATATTCATATTTTGTATTTTTTCGTTTGATAACCATGTTCCTTTTTTTCACCAATATGAACAAACGCCTGTTGGCATTGTACATGTTGATGTGCAGATTCAATACAGGATTGCATCTACATCAACTCTCGCTATTATAGCACAACAATACTATAGTAAAAAAATACAGAATAAAACAAAAATTGTTGTTTCGGATTAAATCAAAAATGTCCAATATTTTTATAGAATTGTACAGTTTTTATTCTTCTTTTTTTTGCCAGTGCATGACATTTGTCCTTTCTTTTTAGATTTTTATCATATAAGCATGACGTAGAAAACATGATGTCTGCATTTATATGGTGACCACTTATGCGGCTCATTCACAATCATTGCCATATGGGGTGGTTGGTTTGCGATTGACATTTTCAAAATAGAAAAAAGACTACAAACACAAATACGGACAAAAAGAGGCAACAGTATTGACCAAATTTCAATTTGCTTTAATTAAGTTATCGAAAATTTATAAAGGGTTCGTTCGCGGTCACCACACATCCGAATTAGTGATGATGTTTATATGTACATATGTATGTATGTACGAATGCATTAGTGTGTACTGCTTTAAAATATGTATAGTAATCCCGTCCTTTATTCTATAGTAGTATTTATGATGGGTCCAACTTTGTTTCTTGGAATCATGAAATATTTTTTAATTTGATAATAATAATAATAATAACACTAATCAAAGTAAAATAATTTGACCTAATCCAATTCACAGTCGATGTCGTATCGTTGTATGGTTGTATTGTATACCGATTGTGAATTGTACAAATATCCCTACGGAACGAAAAGTTCCAATTTGCACCTTTCACTAGTTATATACCGCATTACCAACTAACTAGTTACCTCTCGTAAATGAAGTGGTCGATATTATGCCTAAACGTACACTACATTTCACCATTGTTCACATTTGGTAAATTTTCGCATGAAGTTTATGAACATAAATTTCAAATAAATTAAATGTTTTAAGAATGTCAATTTGATAGCCACACGTTGTGCTTAAAATAACCACATGGCACATTTCTGACGAAATGTAATGCTGAAAGCGTCCGTTTGCATTTAATGACGCAGAAAATACAAAAATAACAACAATTAGATCCTTGTACTAACAAGAGATCAGTAAGCTCAGTGGCGAGAGCTTCTAAGTACAAATCGATAGACACCAAGTTCAACCCCAGTTTCAGAATTATTTTTTTAATTAAAATGTTTATTTTTTCACAGAAAAAAGTTTCAGCATAAATATTATGAACTGCTTTCATTGACTAAAGTTAATAATATTTAAGAATAAGTTCCTAAATTGTATGAATTTTTTCATTTTTATATTTTTAAACATAATCTAGAAGCCTTGACTTAAAATATTAAAAATTTTCTTTATATTTTTCTGTTTGTTAAAAAATGTTTGAAATTTTCTTTAGAAAATTTTTTATTTCTTTATGATTTTTAGATTGAAAACAATGAAATATGCGCGTAACATGCAGCATTTTCTGAAGAATGGATGTTTAGCTATATGCTGGTTTTTTTTATTTCATATTTTGTTTTCCAGCATTTTTATTTATTTATCATAAAAATACGCTAATATGTGATTATTTTCTAAAAAATGGAAGATATTAATAGGTTAATAATTTATAATTTATATAATTTATTATAATTTATATATTTATTTATAATTTATTTATTGCATTTTTGATGAAAATCAAAGAAAATGAACAAAAAAACAAAAAAATCTTTCATGTACAAATTCATACATTTTATGAACTTTTAATATTCTGAATGAAAATGGTTTGGGAAAAAAAAGTCATGTTCGATTCATTCAATTTATTTCAAAATTCATTCCAAATATGAATTATTTTTTTCTGTGTTGTTGGAAAATTTCAACTAGTGATACTATCGGAAACATGTTATTTATGCATAAAGTGTCAATACGCCACTCCCAATGACATTCCTATGTTTAATGCAACAGTAAATAACATTGGATTGGATTGAAAATTCACTAGTGGTAGTTCTTAGTGCCTGTTGATATCGCCGTTGTCGAACTAGTTCGTCATACTGCTGAGATATAACTGAAATTTAATTTACAAATACATATGTACAATGTACATACATATGTATGTACAATGTATCTTCGATATAAATGTACAAATGTATTCGAATTGAATTGAAATTTCATGTCCAAAGTTATTTGTTGACAAAATATTTTTTTTGAAATTTACATAATTTATAAATACATCTTATTTAAAAGGAATAAAAACAGCTATTGAATTATCGAAATTTGTATTGAATTATGTTATTATTTAAAACTACATTGTTATATTTTTTAAAAATCTTGTAATTTATTTATTTAAATAACATTCTTTCAAATATAATAATAACTCAACTTTTCCTTTCTTCATCTACTTATACGAAATTTTATTCGTGCTTAATTAATTACACAGGCCAACAAAATTTAAAAAAGTCGAAAACCTGAGGCCATACTAAATACTTTTCTAAATGATTGAGCAGCGATGAATACGAATCTAGTTCAGGTTATTAAAGAAAGAAAGAAAGAAAGAAAGAAGAAAATATAACAGTTCTGTCGTGAGATTGGAGTTTCAAATGGCATATCAAATTTGATAAATAAAGGTGGCCAAAAATATTTTTTTCTAACTTTATGACACGATATCTGGCTGGCCTGTGTTAAATAAAAATATTTTGGATTTAATAAAGCGAATCGAGTGGCGATTTAATTAACATATCTTCCAGTCTTGGTATTTAATAAGGTATACATAATTAATATAATTAAAGGCGTCATGAAATAACTCCCCAAAACAAAAATTAAATAATTCCTCGAATTTGGGGACTTATTCAATATGGAATAACTCCCCAATTAAAAAATAAAGAAAAGCCCCAACGAAATGAAATAACTCCCTAAATTAAAATGAAATAACTCCCCCATTTTTAGGGATTTATTTCATATGAAAAAAATACATCATTTTAAAATAAAATAAGCTCCAATTAAAAAATCTGTAGTTAAAAAAATAAAAAATTATGGAACAATTCGGTTTTAGTGTCATTTCTAAAAAATGTAGGTCGCGCATACTTTCGAGTGGGGCTCCAAAGTTTAATACATTTTAATTTAATCGCTTAATAAGATTTCCTAAATAGCCGGCATACGGCCGGGCGCTAGGATTTACCACTCTATAATATGTCCAACATAGGCTTCACTTAGTAAATATTTCCTAAATAGCCGGTCTAAGGCCGAACGCTTACACGTAGAGTGTATTCATAGCGAAGCCGGTGTCCAATATACCTCAGAAGAAAAAAAACTTGCGCACGACCGAAGGCCGTCTATTAAACAAATATTTTTTTATTTCGTGTAATAAAAAAAATATAATGAAATAACTCCCCAAAAGTATATATAAAATAAAATATAAATTTAAAACAAACCCTTATTAAGGAATCGAAATACAATGAGCAAAAAATACATTAAAAATATAGAAAGACATATTTTTGGCGAAAGTACAATATATTCTTTACTACAATCTCTGTTCACTTTTCTTGGGTGTATATTTTTAAATATTTTAATAAGAAAATTACATTTCTTTACAGTTGACAAATTCTGATGCCACTTCTGTTACTCTTAAGGGAGTTACACGTGAATTGACCGGAAATTATCAATGCGAAGTATCAGAAGATGCTCCGCTTTTTCACACCGATATACGATCTGCTCATATGCAGGTAATTGAACTGCCTAAAGATGATCCCACCATGCAAGTAGATAAGAAAGTCATAACGGCAAATGACAACTTTAAGGCCGTTTGTACGATTGGTCCTTCATATCCGTCAGCAAATATAACTTGGTATATTAATGGAAGAAAGGTAAGTTTGATTATTATTTAAAATTATACTGCATTAATGTTTTAATTAAGTAAGAAATTAAAATTAATTAATAGTTAACTTGAATGATTTTTACATTAAAAAAAATTAGTTACTCCTCAAAAAATATAAATTGGTTTTATTTATATATTTTCCAAAATTTGTATTTTTATATGTTTAAATGAGGTTTAATAGAAAAATTGTCGTGATTTAAAAACTTTTTTGTTTATGATGTCTTCCAAAATAAAAATGTGATGTAACCTTATGAGCTGACACAATTTCAAAAGAACATATCTCCCCAGGAAAATTCGTCAATATTGGGGATCAACGGTTAAAAAATTTAGTTTTTTAAAAATATCTCGCTTATTTTGATTTTTTCTATCGCACTGATAATTTAAAATCTAATCGATAATATCTTTCATAGTTTGTTATATGTTTTATCTCAGAATCACATTATGGCCCATAGAGAAATGTCTGTCTATCTGATAGTGTCACAGGTTATAATTACAAAGAGAAATTGAAAAAAAATGGAGGTCAAAATTTAGATATTCAGGATAATATTCCCTCCATATTTAATTAAAATCAGACGTCATTTTTAAATATTTTTTGTCATGTTTGAATGTTCAAAGAAGAGACCCATAACATATGAACCGTATAAGTTAAGGATCCAATCTATACGCCATAGAAATCGCATTAAGGAGTAGATTATATACAAAAATTTAAAACAGCGTATTTTGGTCGATTTATTTTGGAATTCCCCTTTTTTGATTCATAAAATTGAAGTTTTTTTAAATTTTTTTTTAGTCGCATCAAATATATTCAAGTAAGTGATCTTAAAAATACAATTTTCACAAAATGTTCCAGATTGCCCGGTAGGCTAATTTGTAATGTACTAGCTTATCAGTCATCGTCACCTTGGTAAATTTGGTTAGAATATAATTTGAAATTGTTTTGTATTGTTTAGATAAATAAATAAAATTTACCTTAAAAATTTTAATTTTATTGAATATGACAATATTGAAATTTTCTTTAAACAAGAATTCTTCTAATTAAATCTTTTCGACTAAATGTTTAAATTTTTGTAATAATTTTAGGTTTATAAAACACCATTCCAACGAATTACGCAGGATACATATGAGGGATCAGCGACATATTCCTCCCTGGAAATTTATCCACACAGCCAGGTGCTGCAGGGCTTTTTCCAAGCCGTTCCCAAATATCAAACTAGCATTCTTCTACTGTGCGAAGTGTCGATATTACATGTCTTTCATAAAAATGTACAACAGCGTTTAATGCTAAGTATAGGGCCGCCCACAACAATTTCACCAAATCTCTTGGGGCTCGAGGGTTCAAAACGTTTAAATGGTGATCCAGACAATTCCGCCTTAACGGGAGGAGCTACTAGAATAGCAACAACAATAACACTAACAACACAATTGGCAGCAACAACAAATATACTTTTGCCGGTGGCATTTGTGTTTATGTGTTTCCTCTGCAGCAGCAGTTGGAGTCATAGTGTATCAGCGATTGCTGCGCACCGACAACGACATCGGCGTCAACTGTGACCAAATGGTCATAATTGTTTATAAATGTTTAACAATATAAAAGCAACAACAACTGTACTCTGTTTTTTTGTTGTATTGAATAAATAAATAAAAAAATAAATTAAATTAAATTCATAACAAAAGAAAACCATAGAAATAGGTAAAACACAAACGCTCAAATATACACAGACATACACACACACACACACAAAATAAAATATTGAAACAATATGCAAATAAATAGATTAAATTGTGAGAAAAACTTAAATAAATAATAAACATTAAACAATAAGAGGGAGATTGAAAATTAGTGAGATAATTTTTATTTATGTTGTTTGATAAACAAAACAAAAAATTAATTAATATTAAAAATAATATTATTAATATTTTACGTATTAAAATATAAAATTGTTTAATTAATTTTTATACATAATTTGTAAAGAACGAAACAAAAAATAAAATAATCAAAAACAAAGTAATTATGTTAATTCAACAAGTGATTAAAAAATGTATTTGGAAAAAATATATAAATACATACATATGTATGTATGTATATGTATATACATACATATGTATATAGATCGACTTTCTAAATACATAAAAGCAGATTGTAGCAATCGAAATCTTTGACTCTTTTCTGATAAATCATCTTATTCTACATTTTCTAATAATAAATATAATTTTATTAGAAAAATTACAATAGTTCAAAAATTAATTATTTCCGGAATTTTGAAATATATTAAAAATTCTATTTTGAATGGAATTTCCAAAAATATATATTTTCTTTAAACATTTTCATATAAAGAGGCAAAATTAAAATTATAAATTTACCGTATTAATAGAATAAAGATAACTTTGTTTTATAACCACCTAAACTCATAGTAAAATATCCACATCGTTTTAATATTTACACTATGTAAATTGCAGTTTCCAAATTAAAAATATATATAGTATATATTTTACTGTTATCCAGCCTTGTTTAAGATTCTTGCATAAAGTAGGGTGTTGAATTAATTAAAATAATAAAAAGCAACAACCGTCTGCCATAAAACAATTTAACAAAATAAAATTCAATTTCCATTAGAAAATTGTGTCAAATTGTAAAAAACAACAATTGAAGAGTGAAAAACATAAAAAACAAACAATTAGAACTAATTAAATTACAACTTAAATAAAATAATAAATATAAAATTTCCAAGGCAAAATAAATTAAAAATAAATAATTAAAAAGATAATAAAAACTAAATTAGAATACATATGAATGTACATATGTATAAGCTTTCTATGTATATACATATAAAATAAATAATTAATTTGTAAAAAAAAAAACCTAAACACACACAAACATACATTAATTAATCGATACATTGATTATATAACTCAATCAAATACACATACATTCATACAAGAAACGATTCTAATACCAAATTCTATAAGTTTTTACATAAGAACAAGAAATAACAATTTTGTTTTATAAGAAAATTTGTAAAAAAAACTAAATAAATAAAATAAGCAAATTTATTTTAAGCTAAACGAATATTTGAATAAATAAATAAATAAATCTTAATCTTATAATTTGTATTTTTTATTTTGTAAAAAATCGAATTTTTAAAATGTTGAATTTTATAAACAATAAAAATTAACAAAATAACAAAAACATAAAAAGACAATGAATGCATTTATTATATTTTTTTAAATTGTTTGTTTGTCCTTAAAAATAAAATTGTCTGCAAAATTAATAAAAGACATTTGATTATACGTAATTTTACCAACAATAACAATAATAAAAAGCAACAAAATTAAATAAATTCAAAACTGAGATCAAGATCAAATTATGTCAAACAAATAAACAAATATTTACTAAATAAATAAACAATTAAAATTAACAAACAAATAAAAATTACATGTAAATTAAAATCAAAAAAAATCTAGAAAGTAAAAAGATGAAAAAACACTACAGGTACTTATAAACAAAATAAAACTAAATAATATATAATAATAATTCACAAATACACACACAACCACCCCTCTCCCAATCCAAAAAAAAAAAAAAATTAATCGAAATGAACTCCCATACCCCAAGATGAAATCAAACAAAATCAAACTATTCTAGAAATGTTATTTGTATAAGTAGGAAAAGTAATTTTAAAAGAAACCAAAATCTAAAATCAATTATTATTAATTACTGAAAAAGTAACCGTGAACAACCGACAGACAAAACTGAAATGATATTTTCCCCAAAACATAAAAAATAAAATAATTTACTTTAAGTTAAGGATCTTGATTTAATAAATGTTTGCTGCTTAAAGTGGTTAGAAAATAAAATAAAATCAGGACTCCTTTTTCATGATGATTGTGTGCAAAACAAAAAAAAAAAAAAAAAAAAAACAAAAGTAAAAAATAAAAAAAAATATATGTTCAAAAATATATAAAAAACAAACTAAATAAAGGTATGATTATATAAAAGTATTTTAAAATGTGTTTTATTTGCCTGTCCGAATCTATTTAATATTCTGCGGTCTGCTTTATACATAATTTAAAACAAGTTTAGTCGGGCGTGACCGACCATATGATACCCTACACCAGTTATGTATATCAAATGTGATTTATTTTTCATAATAAAGCAATTATCTTCAATAGTACCTTGTTGCGATACATTTAAGCAATTCATGGACGAAAAACTAATTTTCTAAAAGAGGCTTTATATGGGGGCTAGGGGCAAATATGGATCAATCTCGATAAAATTTTGTGAATAGATTTATATTTACATAATATTCTTTTGTACTGAATTTCATAGCGATATTAGAGTTTATAAGATAATTTTGGACATTCAAGTCATTTTCTGAAGGGGACTTTGTATGGGAGCTAGGGTCAAATGAGACCCGATCTATATGAAATTTGGCAAGGTCATCAAGACTTGTATAAAACTTATATACCCTACCCACTAAAGTGGTGTAGGGTATAAAAAATCAATACCCAAAAAACAACGTAAAAAGAAAACATTTTACGATTTTCGTATTTGCTTTTTTATGGGAAAACCACTCTGATTTTTCAAATTTCTAAAACTTTCACTATTTTGGTTTCATTTTTGCTTGTTCAGAAAAAGAAAAGCTCAATACATTTCAAACTACAAAATGTTTAAGATTTTCAGATTACAATACATTTTCAAATTACAATTATTAAGACTCTCGAAAAATTTACACTTCTATTTTATTAAAAATGTATTTATTTAACAAATTTTTTACTTTTTAAATTACAATAAATTGTTATTAAGATAGATTCTTAAACCACGTTGGTGTGATCGTCTTTGTGATAAATTTTAATATCGTAGAATTTGATGTTATCAACATTGAAGTAATAGTCGTGGTGGATGGGACGATTGAAAGGGAATCCGAAGGGTAGAGCGTCGATAAAACGACTACCAGAGCCAATACCGCAAGAAATAACGGGGTCATAAGTTGAGTATTGTGGGACTTCAGGAGCATGGTATGGATAAACAATGAAAAATAATTGGAATGGCATGCCCCCCTTCTTTCCCTTTGGCAACATGATGCGTCGGGGTATACCACAGTGAGCTTCATCCTGATTAAGAGGGAATTTGTAGTCGCTATTGGTGGCATCCATAACCTTTTGGTAGAGCTCCAAGTAGGTAGTGCGGTCGCTGACATACCAATTGAAGTCATCAGAGCTACGTTTCAAGTGGTTGACACCATCGACCAAGTCCACAACGTAGTGATCCAATTCGAAGAAGTTCATGTAGTTGTCTTCCAAATGTATCAGATGACCATTTTCATCGTATTTCGGACCAATGAACACCTTTACGATGGCCTTTTGGCTTTTGTCTGATGTCACGTCCAAAGTATATTCGAATGGTTTGTGGTTCAAACGTAATTGACGAGCTTTTATAACAAAGCTTTGTCCATGTAACTGTGAGTTGCGACCGAACTTGAAGAGAGCATCGGCTGAGCTTTCTGAGTTGGGAACTTCAACGTTCACAGCGTTGCTGATGTCGGCATCAAAGTATTCAAAGTATGTAGTGAGTCCTTCTGGCATGTGTACGTTATCGATTTTAACACCTGGGAATTCCAAATCTTTAGATTTGTATTCAGGGTAAGTTGATGTTAAACGCCAATAGTACGAAACGATGTCTTTGTAGATGGAATAGAACAAGGGATCGCGTAAAGATGTTTCGTAATGCATGAGTATGGCTGGTAGTGTTTCGCCATATTTGCCGTAGGGACGACCTTCATTAACCAATTCGCGGTATAGATGGTCTAAACTACCGTACTTTTTGAAGTTGACGGAATCGGGATTGCCTTGGATCATGTTGCCCAATTTGTCGACAGCTACCAAGTAGTCATCATTGGTGGTATCGACATAATGAGCCAAACGAGCGCCATAGTATTCAATATCCTTGGCGTATTGGTAGTTGTCCTCATAGTAGAAGTTGTAGTGATTATCACGGTCGGGAAAGCTAACACCCTTGTAGTAGTGTAAATTACTGAAATAACCATTTTCGTAAGGCTGGTAAATGTTAAAGTGTGGAATTTCACCCAAATCAACGGACAAACGTTCCAAATAGTAACGAGCCAATAATTGCCAGTGCAAGAAAAGATAAAATTCTCCACGGCGATCCTTATGCAACTCATGACCGACAGGGCCATTGGCCCAATGGGGATAATCGATGTTATAATAGTAATAGAATGCATTGAAACCAATATCTTCCAAGAAGTAGGCCAAGTTGTGGTCATAGTTTACATCGCCATAAACATTACTATAGTTAGACTTGATTACCACATTATAAAGATTGTCCAATTTCTTAACATTGTGGAATCCGTGCATTCTATATTTCTCAGACAACTCCAAAGTGTCAATATCGAAGAAGTGCCATGGTTGAATTTCGTAGATAGCTGGCAAAACGATGCCTCTCAAATCCTCGCGGTGAATACTAGCTACAGTCAAGGAATAGATAAACAATTGTTTATTGACATGCATGCGAGCCCAGTAGACGGCATGGGTAAAGGAATTCCAATCCTTAGCAAAATAGAACAAGCGAGCAAGGTAGTGAGCGTATTCAACGTGGCGTTCGTAGATAGGTGAGAAAATCTCATCATCATAGATGGGTTTGTGCTGCCATAACTCAAAGAAATCCTTGATCAAATCGATCTCATTGTAGTCCTCTACATGTTCCCAAGGCTTATAATTGATATAGCTCTCATCATACTTCTTTACAAAAACATCATCCTGATAAACATGCTGCAAAATGTCAAGCAAAAATTTCTGTTTAACCAAAAAGTCCTTATCTGCCACTTTGGACTCGATATGTTTGGAGGAGGCCAAGGCAAAAATTGCCAAAGCAATTACTGCAACTGCTGTGAACGACTTCATCTTGCGAAATCATACTCTATACCGGCAAAGCATCTCATATTTATACTGCACTTTTATTAGAAGTTTATCAGACATACATGACCCTTATTTATTGTAAGCAAACAGATGTTTCTCAACGCCGCCTATGAATGCATTCGAATTATCACCTTGAAATTCGCTTACCGTCCGACCATCTTATCAATACGTGAATATTTCATGCATGCCCTCATACATGTATGTATAATCGTCTCCACACTCAAACAAACCCATACAAGCAAGCATTGGGCCATACAATACTTATTTACTCTACTTCACAAGAGTACATCAGTACTTTTCCAAATTGAAACTAAGTTTAAGATTTGCATGAATGAATGCATCTCAAGAAGACCATTAAACGCAACAACAACAGACATCATAAAAATTTTGCAGCAGACAACAACCACAACAAAACCAAAATTAAAATAAACATTGCATTTTGCAAAAATAGCATAATAAGAAAATTATCATCATCTCGAACCCAATTAAAATAAATTATCGAAAAAATTCAACCATAAGGTCATTGATTCAAGCAACATAAATAATAAAATCCAATCTTTAAATAATAACAATAACGAACAATTATATATGTATGTACATATATTTGTAAATTTGGTTTGTATTCAAATACATTAAAATAGTTGTACTTACTTAAGATATACAGAAATTATATATGTATATCACTTTCTGAAATATACACTGATCTGATATTTTTCATTTTTACTGCTTAAGTATTTAATGGGCTTAAAACAATAAGAGAGGACTTCGGTTAAATGTTCATTCTACTCACTAAACCACTGCTTAGCTATTTTATTGCGTTTTAAATAATAGTTTTCACATAAAAATTTAATTTTGTTTTCTTTTTTGTAAAACACAATTCTTAATACGTAATTAAATAAAATGTGAAAACAAAATGACAAAACCGAAAATAAAGTACTTCTATATCAGATTAAAAGGAAGTCATTACTAGAGTAATTCTAAGTAACGAAGACGGTAAGTAGTTGTCATTACCATATTATTGGTGGAATATTTTTGGATTCTCTGGTTATAACACAATTGGAGATCAAAATTTATGAAATCATCATCCAACGAATGTGTACTATAATTTTATTAAATTACTGTATA